AAAAATCCGTAAGAATTGAAGGTAAACTGGCATCGGGTAAATTGAATTCTTGTTAAGATTTAGGTGCGTCCAGCAGCTCTTAAAACAAAAAAGTGAATAATTGAGATACCTCTGACCAAGATAGGATTTCAGTATAGATTACTTCAATCTGATTGGCTAATTAGCTAATTGGATTAATCAAGATGGCTATTGCATACACAGTATCCATGCCATGCCAGGTTGCAAATTCCATCTGTTGACATGTAATTATTCACCAGATGCCAACAATAAATGATGCCCCCCACCTACATGTCTGGTGGCTAATCTAAAGACCTTAATCATTTATGTTATCAATGAGTATATAATTATAACAACAGTATCTTATTACAAAATTTGCTGCCAAAAATGTTTTTATTTACAATAAAATAGGTTACTTTGAAATTATAAAGGTGTGATCTTCTTTATATACAGTAATTCCGACGGATTTCCAATGGACAATAAAAAAGTATCTTTATAAGCCTACTATTTTTATGTTTATATAAGGTAGATTTTATTCAAAAAGTTCTTCATGATCAGAGAAAAACAGTTGCTGCGGTAACAAATCATAATTCAGATACTCAGTTTATCGACTATGGTAAATTAATGATAATGAATAATAATTAGGTTTACTCATAAGTCGACTCGATTTATCAATGAACTCATGTCACAGGTTGTGAAAAATCAATTCTTATCCGGGACTCGACCCTGGAACCTCTAGCGTACCAACACAGCAATTTTATTTTTTTTTTGCTCTAAACCCGATATATTGTTTTACTTTCACGCACCTTTGAACATGTAATACTTAACATTAAAGATATCAGAGAGCCTGTCCGCAATTTGACTTTTCTCTGACAAAAGAGGATAAAGGCCAGTTAAAAACTAACTGAGTAGGATCTTTTTTTTTAAACGAGGCTTCTCGCTAAAACTTTGAATAGTGTCTACTTGATCCACACAGAAGGCAGGAGGTGTGTGTGATTCATCACCAGGGGATGTTTTCTCCCCTCTCCAGGCTTTCGCGTTTTATGCCCTCTTCGTCTTTAAAGGTTTTTGGAAATCAATCATTGTTTGATTTCTTCTTCCTTCACCTCGGAAATTGATACCACACCACATCTTGGAGTTCTATTTCACGGAAGCTCAGTCGGTAGAACGCTCTCTCCGTGATCGGGAGGTCGTGAGTTCGTATCTTGGCCGCGACTGACCTATTCGATAAAATTGATAGCAATAGTTCCTTCGCCATGCGCTCGGCACTTTGAAGTGAAAGTTACTGGTTCTTCGGATGAGACCTTAAGAACCGAGGCCTCGTGTCAGCACGATAAATATCCCTCACTGCTCAATGTGGCCCTGAGTGCCGAATAAAGGTAAACATTTGAAGCCATTCACCGGCATACGGTGACGTCTCCATATGAGCGAAAAAATCTCGAGAGGGACGTTAAACAATATTCAATCAATCAATCAATCTTAGAGATCCATTATCACTCTGATCTAACTTTCTATATCGGTTCAAAGCATTTTTAGCTTCCTTAAGGTTCCTTATCTCTGCACCGTGGGATAACTTGCAATACAGACTTCGCCCGTTATTCATTTTTAGTAGATAACCCCATATTTCCAACTATTCTGGATTGTCTCTAGCAAAACCTATCAATAGACAGTGATTCCTTATACTTCAATATTCTGTGAGAAATAAAATTGTTAAATATAGATTTCAAAAATACAGTAACACTAGTTTATAACGAAGTATCTTGGACATGTGAAATTACTTCGCTATTTCTGTATGCGTTATACATGTATCTGCGTAAGGAATATAGCTGTGGATTCAAAATTACTTCGTTATATCCGTGAATTCGCAATATTTGTGTTTGTACTAAAAGGGTTTTACTGTATCTGAAAGATTCTTAGTACATTTCAACACGTGATAATTTATACTCGCCTTCTGGCGTTACATCAGACACAAACAGTTCCGCACATGGACAGCTGCATATAATTTTGGGAAAATGCGCTTTAATATCAATTCTATGTAATTATCAAACAATATATATAATGCTTGGCCACGCTACATTTTCAATTTTAATGAAACTTTGTGTGTACTCACATTGTCACATCATTAATCGTTTTATATTTTTTTATTTCAAAAAATGTCTCGTTGCCATGGTAACGGCACCTATTGTTTCCCCTGTAAATTCTTCCTTACTTACTTCCTTACATTTGACCAAAAAACGTGATTTTGCAGGTTTTCCTTAATAAAATGAACTTAAAAGAACCAAGAGACTGTGAAAAACTACTTTTGTTTCAAAACTACTATTATTCCTCTTTAGTATAACAACATAATTTTTTTAAAAATTTAATTCTATACAATTGCTTAACAACGCTTTTCTTTGGGGATTTTGGCATTTTGCCAAATTGAGAAAATTACCATTTTAGACCCTTTTTCAAAGCGATTTTTTAATATTTTGCACACTGATTTGAAATTCATGAAACAGTGCATTGCATAGATGGTATATAAGTTCGTTTAAACAAATTAAAATATTTATGGGACATTTAAATATTTTTTTAAAAAGCTGATGAAAAATTGCCCTAAAATTTGCAAAATTTCCGTATTTCAAGGAACATATGCACATTTCATTAAGTTCATATAGAAAAAGAAATGTTCCTTTCTACCTGTTTTGGTGTCATTTACAGTAAAATTAGTCCATATCTAGGAGAAGTGTCATGTAAAAATATTCACATCCCATTTCCAAGAGCATTAAAACATGTAAATCTGTTCATATATAGAACTGTGAACACCTGCACAAAATGCCCCCCCCCCCCTTTCCGTAAAATTGACAATTTTGAAGTACATATAGACTAACAAGGGCATGTTTCAAGTTTCCTGAAACTATCCCTTTAGATTTAAACAAATATGAAATAAAATTTTCAATATCCATTCTCTGTTACTATGAAAACAGGAATGCAAGATTTGTTACCATGGAGACAGGAATACCAGATTTTTAACAAAATGGCTGCGTTTAACAATATTCCCAAAACTACACTTCTTTACTCTTTTATAAAACCTGTGTAATGAATTAAATATGAATGTGAACTAAATTTTTTGGCATTTTAAATTTGCATCTTTATGATATTGCAAAAATATAATGCATTTTGAAATGCTGTGTCAAAAAATTGCAAAACCTTGTGGCTTTTCCTTTTTAAAGATTTGGACAAACTTGAAAAATTCTGAGATGAAACTAAAACAAGCAGGACATTCATAATATTTTACTCATTTCAGCTTGTTACTTTGTATACTTATTTATTAAATTCATGGGCAACTGCAAACCACACACACTTTGAACGAAGTCAAAAACTTATTCCCCCTTCTGATTTTATACCCCCCGCAAACGAAGTTTAGGAGGGTATATAGGAATCACCTTGTTCGTCTGTCTGTCCGTCTGTCTGTGCAATCGTGTCCGGTCCATATCTTTCTAATGGATAAACTTGGTAGGTTCTCATTTCACACAAAGATTGCCCATGACCAAAGAGTGTCTCATGACTTCGAACAAAGGTCATTTGGTGAACTTCAAGGTTACTGGAAGAAAAATTTCATAATTCGTGTCCGGTGCATATCTTTCTTATGGATAAACTTGGTAGGTTCTCCTTTCACACAAAGATTGCTCATGACCCAAGGGTGTGTCATGACTTTGACCCAATGTCATTTGGGGAACTTCAAGGTCACTAGAAGAAAAATTTCATAATTCATGTTTGATACATATCTTTCTAATGGAAAAACTTACTTTTGGAAAACCCAGTGGGGGGTATTTTGTCCCGTTTGGACAGTTCTAGTTTCTTTTAAAACTTATGAAACACGGCTTTAAACTTGAGAAAAATTACATTGGTTTAAAAGAAATCACATCCTCTTGGGTAAGTTATCTTGGATTTAAACATAAATATCAAACAATGGAAAACTTTATACATAGTGTTTGGCATATAATTAATAATTAGGTTTGCAATTGAACTTTTGTATTCTGTAAAGTCAGTTGAAAAAATGCCCCCCCCCCCCCCCCATGAGACACTGTCCCCCACAAGTATCATTTTAAGGAAGTTCTTCCTTTCATTTTACTAGGTTCCTGCAAACATCTCATCACACCAACTATATCAATCTCCTTTTTTCACATGTAAATATAAATTCTGAAAACAAAAGAACTTTTCGTTTTTTTTTATTTTTTATATATGCAACATTTAGAGTACATGTATTCTCAACTACGGTACTTATCATTAGATTTACGTGACAAATTTTACTGTTTCTGCTAGGGCTGTCACGGTTCCAAAATTTTTCGGGTTGGGTCGGTTCTGATTTTTTTAGGTTCGGTTTCAGGTTTTTCGGTTCGGGTAGGTAATGGAATAAAAGCTTATGATTTCTATTATTTTCAACAACAACAAAAATATTTTCATTTAATCTTAGAAATAGCAACATAATAACTAGTTTAAAGTAGCTTCCTGACTAGAAAACAATTGTACCAAATTATTTAAATCACCTTATACTGGCAATGTACTAACAAATCTCTCGTTTTTGACACCATTTTTATAGTAAAACCTACTCTATTGTACAAATCGGAACCGGACCGAATTCCGGAATAACGGGAACCGTACCCGACCCGAATTAATTGTTCCGCGGTTCCGGGTCATTTCGGGTACCCGTGACAGCCATAGTTTCTGCTGCTTTGAAAATCTTGTCTCTGGATTTTCCACTGTAGAGTTTTTGCTGGTCAGGCAAGTACCGGTAATGACCTACATTGACATACGCAAGTAACACTGATAATTAGTTAATGAGAATTATGCTGAGTTGAGTTTTTTGGCAAGGTACAGGATAAAACTTGATAAGTTCTAAAACATATTGTTATACAGCATAAGATTTGAGGATGCCATCACATAGTATGATAAACATGTTCCTATTATGTTTGAACTTTGACATCTCAAACACTGATATCTTGAAGACAGTGGGTACAAGTGGGTACAAGTATGTTGAATTTGGTTGGAATTCAGCTTTCACTTGCCTGGTTTCAAACCTGAAATATGGCATCCCTTCTGAACCTGCAATGGTAAATAATTCCTGCACTTTCCAATATACACCGATTTCAAGCTAATTAAATGTGTATGTAATCCTTTAGAAAGTTGTTTTCTTTATTCTACATGTAGTATAAGAATTGTTCTGTTACTGGACAGGTATTAAATTTTGTTAAAAAAAAAAAGAAGAAATAAGCAAGGTTTGAATTTAGATAAACTGAAATATTTTTTAACAATTTCAGTACATATTATCAAAACAAACTTTGTAAAATAATAAAAAAAAACAACTTGGGTCATGTTTAAATCAGTAAATTTAATAACTTTCTCCGAGTATTTCTTAATTTTTAATTCAAATTTTGCATGAAAATGAAATTTGAAGTGAAAAAAATTTGTATAGATTAATAAGGATAGTTTCAGGAGGGCAGACTTTTGAACATCACAGAAGGTTTACAATTTCTTAATATTCTTGAAATTTATTAATAGCATCATTTGCAACTAAATTATGCCAAAAAATATATACAAATCCAGGCATCCATTTTTTGTTTTTATCATCTACCCTTAATTTACTTTCATATTTTAAGAATGGTTACCTTGAAAAGAACAAAATCTAGACTGTCCACTTTCTTGCAGAATGCACTTGAACTTCAGTCATGGCCTATTTGGTCCTGTTTTGGTTTACTGGTCTTACTTTTTCTTTATTCATCTCATATGGTAAATCCTTTGATGAAAAAATTATGAAAATATTATTTTCCTAGGAACATGATCAAAAGGAAAATTCATGTTATTCATACACAGACATGTTCATGTGTGTGGTCATCTTACCAGTAGTGAATATTTGCCTGAGTATCAAATAATTTGTTTAGAATATTACAAAACATGATGGTCAGTGTGTATAAAACAAATATCATTATAAATCAGAGGTGAATATTCTACATGTGCATGTATATAGTTTTATTATACCCTCTGCTTAAAAAATGGGAGGGTATACTGTAATCGGTATGTCCGTCTAGCTGTACATCCAGCTGTCTGTACTTCCGTCCGTCTGTTACACTTTAGGGTACCCATCTCTTATTATCAACAACTCCTCTTATACCACTGATTGAAATTTAATGAACCTTTCACCGAATCTTTATTACATATATATATATATATATATATATATATATATATATATATATATAGAAAGCACAAAGAAATTCACTTTTACATGGATACCCACTTCCGCCCCAGCCCGGGGTTGAACTCACGACCTTCGGAATCTGTCTCCTAGCAGTGCAGGAACAGCGCACTAGACCGCTCGGCTATCTAGGCAAGTCATAAAACTTGCTTTCGATGCCGATGGAATTCTCGCGGCGCTGTCCTACACTACACGGTCATTGAGAATAGAAGTGAGATACAGTTATTTGGACATTAGTTTTAACAGAGGATTGTTATCAATACATGTTGTAATGAAATTAATTATTATTTATAAAGCACATTTTACAACAACTCTTAAACTAACATAACTGCCCTAAGTGAAGAAATATTAATATAGAAAGCACAAAGAAATTCACTTTTACATGGATACCCACTTCCGCCCCAGCCCGGGGTTGAACTCTCGACCTTCGGAATCTGTCTCCTAGCAGTGCAGGAACAGCGCACTAGACCGCTCGGCTATCTAGGCAAGTCATAAAACTTGCTTTCGATGCCGATGGAATTCTCGCGGCGCTGTCGGCATCGAAAGCAAGTTTTATGACTTGCCTAGATAGCCGAGCGGTCTAGTGCGCTGTTCCTGCACTGCTAGGAGAACAGATTCCGAAGGTCGAGAGTTCAACCCCGGGCTGGGGCGGAAGTGGGTATCCATGTAAAAGTGAATTTCTTTGTGCTTTCTATATTAATATTTCTTCACTTAGGGCAGTTATGTTAGTTTAAGAGTTGTTGTAAAATGTGCTTTATAAATAATAATTAATTTCATTACAACATGTATTGGTAACAATCCTCTGTTAAAACTAATGTCCAAATAACTGTATCTCACTTCTATTCTCAATGACCGTGTAGTGTAGGACAGCGCCGCGAGAATTCCAGCGGCATCGAAAGCAAGTTTTATGACTTGCCTAGATAGCCGAGCGGTCTAGTGCGCTGTTCCTGCACTGCTAGGAGACAGATTCCGAAGGTCGAGAGTTCAACCCCGGGCTGGGGCGGAAGTGGGTATCCATGTAAAAGTGAATTTCTTTGTGCTTTCTATATTAATATTTCTTCACTTAGGGCAGTTATGTTAGTTTAAGAGTTGTTGTAAAATGTGCTTTATATATATATATATATATATATATATATATATATATATATATATATATATTGCCATTGCGCACCTCCTATTTCACTTTTTGATCCGACACATATTTTGGGTTTCCCGGCCACAGTAAAACATGGACTTTGTCATTAGTTAAAACCATATGGGAGGCAGGGGGTATCATTAAGTGAGCTCATTGCTCACAGTACTTCTAGTTAAATTTTGTTTTAACACTAATACATATGTGACAGTGTACATATATATTTTCTACTGTTTGCTATTTGAAAAGATTATTATTATTCACACAAAATTGAACTATAGATTACACTGTATACAGTACCGGTACTTCACAGACGAATGAAAGTGTCTATATAAACAAAAATAACTCGATAAATATATCCAGTGCATTCTTAACCTAGATCTATTTTGTCAATACATATAGTACTGTTTTGGATATATATGATAAATTTAACGTTTAAATGATAAAAGCTATTAAATAAAACGATGATATCAAAACAAACATGCTGTTTTTCTATTTTCTGCTTATGAACATGACATGATCATATTTTGCTGATATATAGAAAACTATTAAAAAAAACTTAGCTACTTTATGCTTATTCTTTATTTATAAAGATAAATAATGTTCACTTAAAAGTCTCTCTCAGCACATCATAAAAAGTAAACCCACGGAATGGCACAGATTGTATACAATCTCAATATAGACATTTATATTTCGGGGGGGGGGGGAGTTCAGCTGTATCAGCAAGTAATGTTTATATGCTTTAAATTCATTTTATTAATAATAATTATTAATTCATTAGTCAAAAAATCAAACTGTCAAAAGGGATAGTTCGCTTGATTTGATAAGGAATCACCACTGACCAATAACGTTACCGGTAAAACAACTGTGTATTGTAAGGCAAATAAAATTAAGAAAATATGCATTGGTTAATCTTGGTATTTTTGTAATGCTCAGTATATACATAAATTTACCTGCTGTCTTCATTGTTTAAGATGTCTAGCCTTCTTTTCTTCTTCCAGACTGTAAAAACTTTGATGAGATCTTTCCGACTTTCGCCAGAAAATGTTCATGTTCATACACATTGTACCTCTAAACGTTAGAGAGTAGTTCAAGGGAAGTTATTATGACGCAAAAAATGCTTCAAAATGTAGAAAAAAAAGTAATCTTTACCCTTGAATTTCTTTTACATCTTTGAATCTCCCACCAATAATTTACATATTTTGATATAATCAAATATCAGCCTTTCATAATTAATTATTACTAAATTTCTAATCAGTGTGCCTTTTTTGTTTTAAGCCTCCAAAAACTCCACTAAACCAAGCACATATCTGATATGTTATAATATGTAAAATGGCCATTTACTATTGAGAGATTAAATTAAAACTACAGATATAATTACTATAATCTGTAGTATTAAATTTAAATAATGAGAACATATTAAGTTATCCCTTTTCATTTCTGGACACAGTTTTTCCTGATAAGTGCATGTTTTTCAAAATTGACGAAATTGAGGAATTGCACCCCGTTTCTATGGCAACCAAGGGTCTATTTCATAAACCCACTTTAGATTTTACAATTAATGACATAGTTGTTTAAAATTATTATAAAAAAATCAAAATGTTTTTCTATGTGTGGCCAATCAATTTTGATAATTACAGAGAATTGATATTAAAAATTAAAAAAAAATGCACAAATTGCTATCTATTTGCATTACATTTCAGTAAGATAACATTAAGATTTCAACTTAGGACATGGGAAAAAGAATTCAAATTTGCTTCACACATGAATTGGAGAAGAAATACAAATTAAAGGAAAGCATTTTTATTGGAGAAAAGTTTAAATGATGATATGTGTGTTTTAACAAATTCGTTATATTGTAAGCTCCCTGGGAATGGCCAAGCTTAAGTCAGGGACGCTACAAAATAAATACTGGTAGTACTCCTGTACTAAAATCCTTGTTCCTCTGGCTGTAGAGAAACATAAGATTCTTCTTGGTCTCAACAATATTTATTAATCATAAATCAGTTCTCATTTCAAGAGGTACAATAATAAACTTTGGTGGCGTAAACCGGACAGGCTACTATAAAAAAAGGGGGTACAATGGATATACAAGGATTATCCCCACAGTTAATTACAATTATCTAAGTGTCCAGTGTGTTAGGAGATAATTGTTGATCATTTTCTCACCTTAAATCACAATTGTAATGCTGTATAGAGGCTACGGTAAAAATATGGGCGGATCTAGGATTTGTCTCTTTGAAATATACGCGCCTGACAACTCAGCAAATTATCTGTTTACATAATGAAATCGGCCCCTATATATTACCCTCGGAAAAGGGTCACATGACTAGATTCAACCAATAAAAATGCGTACGGCGATGTTCCACCAATCACGACAATGTACGACATCATACAAAATGAAAATCGTGTCGAACTGTAGGACAAAATTGTCGTACAAGATGGATTATAAACAAACCCAGGAACTAACATGAGAAAAGACAAAATAATCAATAAATATGGATAACAAAAGATGTGTCTATAATAAGTAAGTAAACGATTTATCTCTGAAACTTATAAATTTCACATAAATAAACTTGCTGAGTATGCAGACGATATGGCGGGTGGATAAGAATATAATGCAAGTAGAAGACACATGTAATAAGGAATAATAATGGTTAAAATGAATAGTAGAACCCACAATAATATTTAACATAATAAATAGCAAGTAATTATGCCTGTGATATAGCAGGAATAACAAGTTTGGTAAAATACAAAACTGTGTACATAGCATGCGCCAATATAATGATTGCAGACAGAATGTAAACAAGTGGCATGACAGCAGATGATTTAAAGTATAACAGCTTAACCATACATGTAGAACTGCTAAGATAATGACTGTTAAATCAAGATACATACAGATTTAAGATGAAAGGTAATTAATTCATGGCAAGTAAAAATAAATACAAAATCTAACATTCTCGGCCAATGTTTTCACAACGTTTTGACACACGTGTAATATCATTACAAGTAAAAGTTAAAGTCCACCCACCCAATAACTATTACATAGTACAACAACTTAAATTATAGACATCTGACAGGTCCTTACAATATTTCTTAAAGAAAAAAGTAAATATCTCAATTATCTGAAAAGAAATATGTACACTATTAGTAGTATAATTTAAAAGAAAACATAGGCCTACATATACAGGTATAACAAATAAACCTATTCGAAAACATTAAATACATCATTAAATCATATAAAAGAGTGTCCTACAAAATGTTTTAAATGTAAGCAAACTCATTTATTCCAAAAACAACGTCAGATTGTTAAATTGGAATAGTATTTATTCTAAACAGTGTTGCTTCCTGAAGCTTTTGAGTTGGAATTTGTTGTAAAGAATATCGATAGGACTGGAGAGATTCCATATAGTCCCCACATATTTGTTGGCAGATTCCCAGCATTTGCAATGAAATATCTCTGAGGGGATTCGGTACATAATCCCCGTCGTCATAGAGCAGAGTCTGTAAATCACGTAGAGATTGTTGTGACCTGACTGTGTCACCAAGTCTGTGGTGATTCAGTATAAACAACATGTGTAACATCACTAGAGGTGGGATTTGTAATAAAGGTATGCCATGATTCTTACTGATCTTCTGCTCTAACGCAAGTTCATCTATGTAAGTGTACAAACAATATAGCTTAATATCTCTCACTACAGCTCTCCTCATCTTAGTTCCCGGGGTATTTCTTTCCATGTAGTGTCTGTACATTTCTACATTAACATGAACGTCATACACAATATATGGCAATGACATCCTGTCATGTGCTTTATGTAAACAACTGAGTGAATCATCATAACTTCGTTTTCTGTAAACGTACATAGCAAGATACAGAATGTCAGATAAAGATCCAAACTTACAAGACTGTTTTAGCAATGTATATACTTTTACCTTATAGAAAACCTTATTCCGAGTTTCATTTTGATACATTAAACGCTCTAAGTACATTGCAATATTCCTTAGCACATTTGATGTGATGCATTGTAAAGAGACTGTCTCATACGATGTAAGCCTTTTCCTAATTAAACTTTCTATCTGCCTCATGTAAACTGCAAAATCCTCAGTACTTTTAACTTCTTGATTTAATGCATATAATTCTCTAAATAAGCTTATATCCAATTGAGTAGTTGATAAAATACTGTTCTCGTGGGTAGGGATTCTACTTGTTCTGTTCAATATAGCAATACTGAGACAAGGTCGAATTGTTTCACTCAATAGTAGACATGATATACCTTTACAATACAAATCATATAACTGACTGAACAGTGAGGTTTGCACAGAACCAGTGACTTTCACTCTAAACATGTTGTTTTGTGGAATAAAAAAGTTTGGACATTCCCCAGTATATACCATGTATATCAGCAATTTAAAGCTTTCCCAGAAACATAACAATAAGTTATCTGGTGTCCAAGACAAGGAAGTATTTTTCTGTATGACCCAGAATACAATAGTTTTTATGAAGTATGAGCACAGAACAGATGTATTAGGCTGACAATTAATAACTTCTTTCAGAAAAAATTTGAAGAGACCATAACACAAAAACTGACAATGATTCATTGAATGAACAATTTTTTTCTCTGCTTGAGAGAATGAGATTCTCCATTCTAGTTCGTTTTCAGGTTTGCTTCCGATCGGAACAACATGAAATCCTCCGCTTAATATATCTGATACAACATTCTGATCTGGCCAGCCCCGTTCACGACATCTCTGTATCCATGGTAGTGCTGACGTAGGCCAGTGATGTGATTGGAAACATAATGCATAGTCAGTCTCAGCATGTTGGAGTACGATAAAGGTAGAACAAGGTCCATGAGGAACAGCAGGAGGAAAATTCGAGGTTTTTAAGAATCGTAAATTGTTATCTCTTAATAATGTACTTGAAATGTAAATATTATTACCCATGACTACACAGGAGGAATTGGTTACTGTGTCATTTGATTGACTCATCAGCTTAAGTCTGGTAAATCCCGGTGGTAGATCATCACATTCCATCAGAATCACAGTGTGTTGTGGAATACGGTAGAGACTGATCTGGGAGGGATCACATATCACCTTGTGGTCTGGAGGCCATAACATCAGATCAAAATCAGAAGTCCTCAGTTTGAATCCCTCACGTTGACTCCCGCTCATTATTCGATCTAATCCTCTCATAATATACACAGGTCTCTTCACTGCCTCCATGATTTCCGTCACTCCTCTCCTCATCCTTACCTCTGTAGGAGTCCCTACTTCATAACAAAGTCCCACGTATATCACTTCTGACAGGCGAGGTATGTGATACATCTCGATATATTATGAGAGTCAAAAAGCACACGTCTGAAAAATAAATGACTTCATGCTTAAAGTTTTTTCTGTTTATTTTATTTAATTTATGGAGAGAGTCAGCTTCATTTTATCTGGAGTTTTGTTTTATCTATATTGTATCAATTTTTTTTTTATTTTTTGTGCAAAGTGATCAAAAATCAAATGTTATCAATATGAGGAGAGCTTTGTCACATGAGCAAAAACATTACTCTGATAAATAAACCTGATAACATTTTATATTAAATGAGAATAAAATATTATAAAATAGATATACCTAATCTTTAATTTTGTAAATACTCAATGATCCGTAGTGATAAAAAACAATGAGCACAATAATAGTATTTGAGAAAATGAGGCACGTAGATTGAAGGGCAGGGTATAATGGTGGTAAATGGCATTAAGTGATACATACATTATTTGGAGATAACGAACAGTACTTTTAAAGGGATACATGCATGCACCGAGGTGGAAAAAAACTTATTTCATCTTTGTGTTTGTCAATAGAAGATTGAGTCTTTTTACATAGTAATAAAAGAGCCTTTTATATATGTATTAAAACATCACCTACCGGTACCTGTTTCCTAAAAGTCCCAACAAATATCTTTTTTAAATGAAAAAACGCCCAACAAAAATTCTACTTTCGGTTTGTATTTTGCTTATCATCCCTTTACCTGTACTATATTTTTGGAAATCAATGACAAATCAATATCACTATTTTTAGCAATAGGATAATTTCCATTTCTTTATATGTTTATCACATAACCTTTAAATGGAGAATATGTTATTTGATAATTGACTGAAATGTTTGAAGGAAAACGTCGAATTATTCAACCTTTTATCAACGTTTGAATAAAAAGATTTTGAGTAAAGGTATTTTGAGTAATTTTTGGAACGCAAGACTTAACCTTACATTTATTAACAAAGAAGGTTATATCTTGCCTTGCAGTACCATGTTTATTACGACGGCGTATTCGTGCCATATTGACAATGTAGAAAAATAAATAAAAATCGTTTCTATGATTTTTTTAAATCGTTTGAACGATTTCGAAAATCGTTTGTACGATTTATAAAATGGTTTGAACGATTCAAAAATCTTTTGAACGATTCAAAAATCGTTTGAACGATTCAAAAATCGTTTGAACGATTTAGAAAATCGTTTGTGCGATTTTTAATATCGTTTGTACGATTTTACAAATCGTTTGTACGATTAAGAAAGTTGTTTAAACGATTTTCTATATTGTTTGAACGATTAAGTAAAGTGGTTCAAACGATTTAGAAAATAATTTGTACGAATTTTTAAAACGATTTAGGAAATCGTTTATTCTATCTTTCATATCGTTTGTACTATTTTTAAAATCGTTTGTTCGATTTTTAAAATCGTTTATTTGATTTTTATAAATCATTTAAACGATTTAGGAAATCATTCGTACGAATTGTTAAAATCTTTTGTACAATATTGAAAATCGTTTGTACAATTTCTATTTCAAGATGGGTTTCACTTTTTTGGAAATTGCACAGTGTAATGTGTTTAAATTGGGGTCGGGCTCGGGGCACTAAAAATATGGAAGAGAAGCTTCGGGAATAAATGTCGCATGTTTATAAATCATGTTTTGACTTTTTGGGCCAAGACTAGGGCCTATTGAATACATTGACGACGAGAATTCGGAACGCTTGAATTCTCTTTATCGAAGAATCAACATGACCCACATAGAAAAAATCGGTGAGTTTAATGAAAGCACAGAAAGCTTCGCGAATTATGTGGAGAGACTTGAACATTTTTTCGCGGCAAATGAAGTTAAGGACCAAAAGAAAGTAGCTGTATTTTTGTTGATTATTGGTCCAACGACTTATGGAGTTTTGAAAAATTTAGTGCAACCGACCCTGCCGAAAGAAAAGAGTACAAAGATTTAGTGCAAATGTTGCGGGGGTATTACATGCCCAAACCGTTAGTTATTTCTGAAAGATTTAAATTCAATAAGAGAAACCAGAAGGAGGGTGAAACTGTTTACTCGTATGTAATTGAGTTAAAGAGGCTATCTACACATTGTGAGTTTGGAGAATTTCTGCCTGAAACACTTAGTGATCGACTGGTTTGTGGGTTACGGTCATAAGCAATACAGAAAAAGTTGGTATCAGAGACGGATCTGGATTTCGATAAAGCGGTCAAGATTGCGTATGCCATGGAAACGGTTGAAAAAGACACCTTGGCATTTTTGACTCCTGAACCAGGAATACACAGTGTGGAAACAAAATATTCAGGGAGGAAATCTGAGAACCGAAAGAAATTTCAATGACAATATTCGGAGGAATGTTACCGATTTGGGAATAACCATAACCCGAAGGAGTGTAAATTCAAAGACAGCAAGTGTTTCAAGTGTCAGAAAATTGGCCATATAGCAAAGAAGTGTCACATGAAAAAAAAATCAGAAAAATCAACACTGTTTGTGGCTAAGCCAGATGATGAGACATCAGATTCATCAGACAGCATTTGTTCTATTTTCTGTACCAGTGAAAAAGACCATAGCAGAAGGAAGTTGACGGTGAACATAACAGTGGGAGATGAAGAGGTAGAATTTTTAATTGACACCGGGAGTGTTCGTACCATTGTATGCGAGGCAGTTTACCAGAGACATTTGGAGCATTTCAAGCTCACAAAAACAGATACTGTACTTCGTTCATATACGGGAGATGAAATCGGGCTGCTGGGAGTGTGTCATGTTCCTGTAAAGTACCGGGATCAAGAGTTCGTTGAGCTACCATTGCTAGTTGCCCAAGGACAGTGACCAAGTTTATTGGGGAGGGACTGGCTGTCAAAAATAAAACTTAACTGGCAAGAAGTCTTTGCAGTCAGTATGAATGAAATGGAGACCCTAAGGAGAGAGTAAAGTGACCTATTCCTGCCAAGCACAGAACCAATAAAGGATTTTAAAGCACAGATAAGGTTGAAGGATGACGAATATCCAATATTTTGCAAAGCACGCACAGTACCCTATGCTATTAAAGAACAAGTAGGAATGGAACTGAGAAAACTAGTTGAGCGAGGTGTTCTTCAGAAAGTAAAAAATAGCTCCTGGGCTGCACCTGTAGTGGTGGTTCCAAAGGCAGACCAGTCAGTGAGGATTTGTGGAGACTATAAGATGACAGTTAATCGGGTTTTCAGTAAGGAGCAGTATCCACTGCCCAACACAGATGACATGTTTGCCAGCTTAGCAGGTGGAAAAAAATTACAAAATTGGATCTAAGTCAAGCTTATTCTCTGCTAGAATTGGACAGAGAATCTCAAGAATGTCTAACCATTAATACTCACCTTGGACTCTTTCGATATGCCCGGCTATCTTATTGATTTAGTTCTACAAGCGCAATATTTCAGTCAGTTATGGACCAAGTCCTTTAGGGATTAGATCATGTGGTATGTCGAATAGATGACATTCTCATTACAGTGGCGAATGACACTACTCACCTGAATACGCTTCGAGAAGTATTTCGACGTTTGCGAAATCATAACATTAAATTGAAAGCAGAGAAGTGTGAGTTTTTTGCAGACCAAGTGGTTTATATGGGGTTCCTGCTAGATCACAATGGAGTGCACCCAACAGAAGAAAAGGTTAAGGCCATAAATGATGCACCTAGACCTACTGGAGTAAAGGAGTTAAAAGCTTTTCTTGGGTTGTTGAATTACTATGGTGCTTTTCTGCCAAACTTAAGTACCGAGTTAAACCCACTCCACAAGTTGTTAAAGAAGCATGAACCATGGAATTAGACGGCTGACTGTGAGAAGAGTTTTAATGTTTGAAAAAAGATGATCACTGAGAGTAAACTTTTAGTGTTTTATGACTCCAAGAAACCTTTCCGATTATCGTGCGACTCATCTGCCTATGGAGTTGGAGCAGTAATATCGCATGTAATGAAAGATGGCTCAGAGAGACCAATACCTTTTGCCTCCAGAACACTGAGTGAAACCGAGAGACGGTAAGCTCAGATATAAAAAGTGGCACTGTCTTTAGTTTTTGGAGTAAAGAAATTCCATAAGTACTTGTTTGGACGCAAATTTACATTGGTAACAGATCACAAACAGTTGTTGTCAATTCTGGGACCAAAAAAGGGCGTTACCCCATTAGCTGCAGCCAGAATGCAACGTTGGGCATTGATCCTGGCTGCGTATCAGTAGGACATTCAGTACAAATCATCTGAACAGCATGGTTATTGTGATTCCTTATCGAGATTACCACTACATGAGACAGAACAGGAGGATACAGAAGAAGGAGTATTTTCATTGGATATGTACTTACCCATCTCCGGTCAGGAGATAGCTATAGCTACCCGAAGAGACCCGATCTGTCGAGGGTGTATGATTTCACTCTGAACGGCTGGCCAGCTCATGTAGAGGATTCTGATTTGCAGCCTTTCTTTGATAGACGGAATGAGCTTACACTGGAAAAGGGATTGCTCTTGTGGGGGATGCGAGTGGTTATTCCGGACAAGTTTAGAGGTCGCTTGTTGCTAGAGCTGCATGATGAACATTTAGGAACGTCTCGCACAAAAGCCTTAGCCAGGGGGTATCTTTGGTGGCCTTATTTAGACAGGGACATTGAAGACATGGTTGAAAGATGTTCAGCTTGTGCATCTACTAGAAACACTCCAAAAGAAAGCCCCCTGCATCCTTGGATTTGGGCTTCTAGACCAGGGCAACGAGTGCATATAGATTATACAGAATATAAGGGGCAGTCCTTTCTTGTTATTATCGACAGTTTTTCAAAATGGCTGAAAGTCATGCAGGTGAAGTCCACCACAAGCAGCAATACCATAGAAAAGTTAAGAACATGGTTTGCCTCAGTTGGAATACCCGAAGAAATAGTGAGTGACAATGGGCCCAAGTTTACATCTTGTGAGTTTCAAGACTTCATGAAGCACAGTGGAGTTAAACATACACTTGTACCGCCCTATCATCCTCAGTCAAATGGGTTGGCTGAAAGAGGAGTACAAATTCTAAAAAAAAGCATGAAAGAGGCAAGATTTTGATGGTCATAGATGGTCTCTTCAGCAGCGCCTTGCCAACTTTTTGTTAAGGTATCGCATAACTCCACATAGCACTACTGGTACATCGCCTGCAGAACTATTTCTTAAGCGCCAGTTAAGAACCCGATGGAGTTGCATTAAACCTAATCTTCGGGAGTCGGTGGAGGAGAACAGCAAAAGATGAAAGAACAACATGATGGTGGACAGTGTAAAGTCAGGGAATTTCAGGGGGGTGAACAAGTTCAAGTGAAAACAACTATTCCAGGACAAAAATGGAAGTGGATATCTGGTGTGATTCATAGAAAGTTGGGACCATTAAGTTATCTTGTACGAGTTGGAAAACGCATTCGCTATTGCCACATAGATCATTTATTATCGTCGTCTGCTACGATGCTGGAGCCGGAACTTACACCGCTGCCGTTTGATGTAGAGTTACCCTCTTTTAAGGAGCCAGGAATGGATCGGGCCTTAGTGTCTCCAGATAAAACAGGCAAGGGAACTCCTGCGATGGTGGAAACTCAATAAAAACTTGCGGACTCTGTAAACAAGGATACCAAGGTGCCTGATCAGACTGATGCAGTGCCGGAACGTCGTTATCCACTCAAGATGAGGACACCCACTAAAAATTTGGACTTATTGAGCGAAGTCCTTGGTGAACTGTGCTGCATGTTGCAGTTCTTATGACAATGCAAAATTAATCATTACTTTGTTTATCCAAATAGGATTTATTCATTTTTTGTATTTTTTATTATCTTTTTGTGTAAAAGGGGAGGAATGTAATGTGTTTAAATTGGGGTCGGGCTCGGGTACTAAAAATATGTAAGAGAAGCTTCGGGAATAAATGTCGCATGTTTATAAATCATGTTTTGGCTTTTTGGGCCAAGACTAGGGCCTAGTGAATATATTACACACAGATCCTTTCGCAAACTAACCGAGTCTTTGTTCGTTAACGAACGTTTAAAAGGACAACAGCTAAGTTGGGTTTGCTCATACGTAAATACAAATCCGACAAAGGGGATGTAGCTCTTTTAATGGAGGAAAAACTTGAGTCCTGTGGTCAATCGCATGGATACAGGTGGTTGTACTAGAAAGCTATTATGACAGGATTTACCGATTCTAAAGAAGATATTCGATGTCTTCTTTCTATACAACATCCGGAGGGAGTGTGTTTAAGGAAAAGAAACAGATTAGGACGAAGATTGTACACAAACAAAGGTCCAAATTACGACAAGCGATCATAGAAACATTGTTAATGTAATCATGATATGATGGTTTCCTAATTATAACATTACAACAACATTCACAAAGTTTTATTAACAAGATACAATTTATAATAAGTGTTTCTGTACATGTACCTGTTATGTTATAGTCAGCAGCGAAGGAAATTCTCTTTGTACAACAGGTTTACCAGGGTTTTTTTTTTATCCAATACGCTTCTGTTCCAAATCAGAAAAATGTCATATATCTTACCCTATAGATTTTTGGTTGTTGTTGTTTTATGTGCTATATACATCATTAATACATGTGTATAATGATCTAAATTTTGATGTAAAGATTTTTTTTCAAGAATGGTCATATACCCCGGCCTCAGTTGCGGGACACTAGACATTTCTACTGACTAGAAATAGAATCTTAAAGCCAATTGTACTCGTGTATAACGTCACGTGACCGGATGCAGCGCCAATTACAGATGAAAGTGTCAACATAACGTGATGAGTAAGAGTGAATCAATATCAAGGGAATATTTTACAGAGATATCAAACAAGGAAGATTGTATACATGTTGATGTAGCCACATTTTTTTTTGAGAGATTCGTGGTCAACAGTGCATGGGCATAATCCTAAATTTAAAATGTGAGAGTTGCTTGAAAGAAGAAGATGCAACAGTTCATAAAAACGCAATATATATAATTTTCATACAATAAAAATCTTTTATTGAAGTACAATGTTATAGTTCGTTTTAGATACATACCTATTCCAAAATAACTTCGTGACCCTTGGTATATTAATTAACATATTCAGTACCACTTTGTAGCAAAGCGTTGGTAAGAAACATGCAAAGTGGCTATCTGTTTGACATTAATGTTCCCAACATACTACTATCCAGTCTGGGACCTTGGTACAAATCAATATAATTTTGTTATCTGTGTCTATTCCTTAGGAATTCATTTTGTTAATGTTCGGACCTGATACACTGTACCACCTTTGGAATTTGGAAGGGTCTCACTATATTTGTATTATATTTAGCTATTTGTGAGGCTCATTGGTTCATCACTGTTTATTATCTTAATCTTACCATTCGAAACATTAAAAGATGTAAGTGCATTATTAATCAATTGACAACTTCTATACGAGCAAACGAGTAAATAATCAATTGCAAATACGTTTGATATATGTACAATTTATTAAAAAGTTAAAACAGCTGTATTGAGAGAATAATCCAAAGCCTTTCGACCCTCGCTGATTCTGATGCTTTTGGATGATACACTTTTGTTATTTTGTCAGACTGTAAATTAATCTCTTCAGTTTAACATTATAATTTGAATTTCAAAAAGATTTAATCAAGGAATGAACATTCATAACACGCGTTAAATTCATACATGACAAATCAAGATAAAAATAATTATAAAATAGCTGCTTATATAATATAATTTATGGAGAAGCAATCACCAGTCAAACGGACACACATGGCGTAAAGCATTCGACTGTTTGCGTATTTTGTGTCATTCGTAGACGATAGGAGTAACCGAGCAGTAAGGCAGATGTTAAGTTTTCATCATTTATTAAGGAAATAAAGGCATTGATCTATAACGAACAAAGTACATTGTAATTCTAAATTACAGAAATTATGAAAATAACATATGAGATAATTTACCAACAGTATACGTTTAAGAAAAAAACTGAACTCTATGAAAATTTGTGTACTGTAAACAATTCAATTGAAATCGCACAGACTCATTACTATCTTTCAGTTACAATTTTGAATGCATAAATACAATAAAGTAAAAAGTTTGCAATAAAAATAATTACGTAAATCAAATCTTTATATGTTAAGGAAACACATAATCAAATATATAAGTTACGTACCATTAGGTGTTTGATGGACACTAGATTATAAATGTAACCCCTATCTTGAAAACT